TTTTTTGGGTTTTTTTTTGTTGTTTTTATTGGGGTTTTTTTGGTTTTTATTGGGTTTTTTATTGGTTTTTGGGGGTTTTTTTGGGTTTTTTTGGGGGGTTTTTTTTGGGGGGGTTGGGGCTTTTTCTTGGTTTCTCTGGAACTTTTCGGGGGTCTTTTGGGGTTTTTTGGGGGGATGTTTTTGCGGTTTTTTAGGGACTTTTGGGGGACTGTTGGCGATTTTTGGGTGGACGTTGGGGTTTTTTAGGGTTTTTGGTTTTTTTTTTGTTTTTGGAGCTTTTCCGGGGGGTTCTTTTGGTGGTTTTTTTTTCTTTTTTTTGGTGGTTTTGGGGGCTTTTCTTGAGTTTTGGTTTTTTGGGGGCTTCTGGGTTTGGGTTTTTTTAGGTTTTTGGGGGATTTTGGTTGGTGCTCTGGGTTTTTGGTTTTTTTTAGGGTTTTTTTGAGTTTTTTAGGGATTTTTGGGTTTTTTTGGGGTATTTTTGGGGGTTTTTGAGACAGTTTTATAAATTTTCCTGGGGGTTTTGGGGGGTCCTTTTTGGTTTTTTTTTGTTTGTTTAGTTTTTTTGTGGGACTTTTGGCTTTGGGTTTTTCTGTTCGTTTTTTGGTTTTTTTTCGGGTTTTTTTGGGGTGTTATCGAAGTTTTTGGGGTTTTTTGGGTTTTTTTTCTTTGCTTTTTTCTTAGTTTTTATTTTTGGGTTTTGGTTTTGTTTTTTGGGGGCATCTTGGGTTTTTTTGGGAGGGATTTTTGTTCGTTTTGGGGTTTTTTGGGGGTCTCGGGGGGACCCCCGGGAATTTTGGGGCTCGGGGGCGTGGTCAGCATGGGGGCGTGGCCTCAAACCACGCCCAGATTGAGCCAGCCAATGGGAGAAAGCCGCTCCCAGGCAGCCAGCCAATAGGAGCGCGGCTTCCGTTGCCAGGCAACGTGGGCGTCCTCACGCGTAGACGCCGCCGTGGGTGTGGCTGCACGCGTATCGCTAAACTAACCAATCAGAAGAGAGATTTGGCCTGAGGTCCCCGCCTACTAATTGATAGACAGCACTGTTGACCAATAGCAGTGCGTATCGCCCCTTCCCGCCTCCTTCCCGCCGCGGCAGAACTAACCAATGACAAGCCGCGTTGCAACCTCGCCCCGCCCTTCCATCCAATCAGCGCCCGCTTTCCAAAACCCGCGACCTATGCGGGGACCCTGGCCGTAAACCGGGGGGAGGCGGGAGAGCGTCGACCAATGGAAAGCGGCGTTACATCGCCGCGCGGGGCGAACAGCCAATGGCAGCGCGCGTTACGGCGCGGAGCGGGCCGGGCCGGGGAAGGGGGGGAGGTGGCGGCCATTTTGATCGGGCCCCGTGAGGGGCCGTGAGGGGCGGCTATGGAGGCGCGGCGGCTGCGGGTGCAGGAGCTGCGGGACGAGCTGGGCCGCCGCGGCCTGGACACCCGCGGGCTCAAGGCCGAGCTGGCCGAGCGCCTGCAAGCGGCGCTGGACAGCGAAGGAGCGCGGCGTGGGGACGCGGCGGGCGCCGAGGGCCGGTGTAAGAGGGAGAGGGGGTCGCGGTGTGAGGGGTGGGATGGCGTGGGTGGGAGGTTTGCTGGGCTCTCCGTGAGGGGCTGGGAGCGAGCTTCACTCGGGGGGAATGGCTGGCCCTGAGGTCGTGAACCCCCGGCCTGAGGGGGCTCTGGGACCCCCCGGTTCTGAGGGAATGGGACCCCCGGCCCTGAGGGGAATGGGACCCCCGGTTCTGAGGGAATGGGACCCCCGGCCCTGAGGGGAATGGGACCCCCGGTTCTGAGGGAATGGGACCCCCGGCCCTGAGGGGAATGGGACCCCCGGTTCTGAGGGAATGGGACCCCCGGCCCTGAGGGGAATGGGACCCCCGGTTCTGAGGGAATGGGACCCCCGGCCCTGAGGGGAATGGGACCCCCGGTTCTGAGGGAATGGGACCCCCGGCCCTGAGGGGAATGGGACCCCCGGTTCTGAGGGAATGGGACCCCCGGCCCTGAGGGGAATGGGACCCCCGGTTCTGAGGGAATGGGACCCCCGGCCCTGAGGGGAATGGGACCCCCGGTTCTGAGGGAATGGGACCCCCGGCCCTGAGGGGAATGGGACCCCCGGTTCTGAGGGAATGGGACCCCCGGCCCTGAGGGGAATGGGACCCCCGGTTCTGAGGGAATGGGACCCCCGGCCCTGAGGGGAATGGGACCCCCGGTTCTGAGGGAATGGGACCCCCGGCCCTGAGGGGAATGGGACCCCCGGTTCTGAGGGAATGGGACCCCCGGCCCTGAGGGGAATGGGACCCCCGGTTCTGAGGGAATGGGACCCCCGGCCCTGAGGGGAATGGGACCCCCGGTTCTGAGGGAATGGGACCCCCGGCCCTGAGGGGAATGGGACCCCCGGTTCTGAGGGAATGGGACCCCCGGCCCTGAGGGGAATGGGACCCCCGGTTCTGAGGGAATGGGACCCCCGGCCCTGAGGGGAATGGGACCCCCGGTTCTGAGGGAATGGGACCCCCGGCCCTGAGGGGAATGGGACCCCCGGTTCTGAGGGAATGGGACCCCCGGCCCTGAGGGGAATGGGACCCCCGGTTCTGAGGGAATGGGACCCCCGGCCCTGAGGGGAATGGGACCCCCGGTTCTGAGGGAATGGGACCCCCGGCCCTGAGGGGAATGGGACCCCCGGTTCTGAGGGAATGGGACCCCCGGCCCTGAGGGGAATGGGACCCCCGGTTCTGAGGGAATGGGACCCCCGGCCCTGAGGGGAATGGGACCCCCGGTTCTGAGGGAATGGGACCCCCGGCCCTGAGGGGAATGGGACCCCCGGTTCTGAGGGAATGGGACCCCCGGCCCTGAGGGGAATGGGACCCCCGGTTCTGAGGGAATGGGACCCCCGGCCCTGAGGGGAATGGGACCCCCGGTTCTGAGGGAATGGGACCCCCGGCCCTGAGGGGAATGGGACCCCCGGTTCTGAGGGAATGGGACCCCCGGCCCTGAGGGGAATGGGACCCCCGGTTCTGAGGGAATGGGACCCCCGGCCCTGAGGGGAATGGGACCCCCGGTTCTGAGGGAATGGGACCCCCGGCCCTGAGGGGAATGGGACCCCCGGTTCTGAGGGAATGGGACCCCCGGCCCTGAGGGGAATGGGACCCCCGGTTCTGAGGGAATGGGACCCCCGGCCCTGAGGGGAATGGGACCCCCGGTTCTGAGGGAATGGGACCCCCGGCCCTGAGGGGAATGGGACCCCCGGTTCTGAGGGAATGGGACCCCCGGCCCTGAGGGGAATGGGACCCCCGGTTCTGAGGGAATGGGACCCCCGGCCCTGAGGGGAATGGGACCCCCGGTTCTGAGGGAATGGGACCCCCGGCCCTGAGGGGAATGGGACCCCCGGTTCTGAGGGAATGGGACCCCCGGCCCTGAGGGGAATGGGACCCCCGGTTCTGAGGGAATGGGACCCCCGGCCCTGAGGGGAATGGGACCCCCGGTTCTGAGGGAATGGGACCCCCGGCCCTGAGGGGAATGGGACCCCCGGTTCTGAGGGAATGGGACCCCCGGCCCTGAGGGGAATGGGACCCCCGGTTCTGAGGGAATGGGACCCCCGGCCCTGAGGGGAATGGGACCCCCGGTTCTGAGGGAATGGGACCCCCGGCCCTGAGGGGAATGGGACCCCCGGTTCTGAGGGAATGGGACCCCCGGCCCTGAGGGGAATGGGACCCCCGGTTCTGAGGGAATGGGACCCCCGGCCCTGAGGGGAATGGGACCCCCGGTTCTGAGGGAATGGGACCCCCGGCCCTGAGGGGAATGGGACCCCCGGTTCTGAGGGAATGGGACCCCCGGCCCTGAGGGGAATGGGACCCCCGGTTCTGAGGGAATGGGACCCCCGGCCCTGAGGGGAATGGGACCCCCGGTTCTGAGGGAATGGGACCCCCGGCCCTGAGGGGAATGGGACCCCCGGTTCTGAGGGAATGGGACCCCCGGCCCTGAGGGGAATGGGACCCCCGGTTCTGAGGGAATGGGACCCCCGGCCCTGAGGGGAATGGGACCCCCGGTTCTGAGGGAATGGGACCCCCGGCCCTGAGGGGAATGGGACCCCCGGTTCTGAGGGAATGGGACCCCCGGCCCTGAGGGGAATGGGACCCCCGGTTCTGAGGGAATGGGACCCCCGGCCCTGAGGGGAATGGGACCCCCGGTTCTGAGGGAATGGGACCCCCGGCCCTGAGGGGAATGGGACCCCCGGTTCTGAGGGAATGGGACCCCCGGCCCTGAGGGGAATGGGACCCCCGGTTCTGAGGGAATGGGACCCCCGGCCCTGAGGGGGTCCTGCTCCCCCATTTCCCCTCAGCATCCCCCCATTCCCAAGGGTCCTGCTTCCCCATTTCCCCTCAGGATCCCCCCCCCATTCCTGGGGGTCCTGCTCCCCCATTTCCCCTCGGGATCCCCTCCCCATTCCCGGGGGTCCTGCTCCCCCATTTCCCCTGAGGATCCCCCCCCATTCCCGGGGGTCCTTCTCCCCTATTTCCCCTCAGCATCCCCCTCCCCATCTCTGATTTCTGGGGGCTCCATCCCCAAATTCCACCATTTTCCCTGCCCCAATCCCCTTTTTTTTTCACCCCATTTTCCAGACGGCCTCGACAACCACAGCCACGAGCCCCAGGGTGGCTACCAGGACCCCCAGGGTGGCTACCAGGACCCCCAGGGTGGCTACCAGGGCCACCAGGACTATCAGGAGTACCAGGGCCAGGGCCACCACCAGGAGTCCCAGGGCTACCAAGGCCAAGAGTCCCAGGGCTACCCGGGCCACCAGCACGAGTCCCAAGGCTACCAGGGCCACCAACATGAGTCCCAGGGCTACCAAGGCCACCATGGCCACCAGCAGGACCCCCAGGGCCACCAAGGCCACCAGCAGGACCCCCAGGGCTACCAGGGCCCCCAGCAGGACCCCCAGGGCTACCAGGGCCACCACGGCCACCAGCAGGACCCCCAGGGCTACCAGGGCCACCAGCAGGAGCCCCATGGCTACCAGCCCTACGAGGGTCACGAGGCCGAGCCGGGCTACGAGAGGAGAGCCCTGGACCAGGAGCCCCCCAGGCTACCCCCAGGTGGGCTTTGGGGGGGTCTGGGGGGGCAGTTTGGGGGTCACCAGCAGGAGCCCCATGGCTACCAGGGCCACCAGCAGGACCCCCATGGCTACCAGCCCTACGAGGGTCACGAGGCCGAGCCGGGCTACGAGAGGAGAGCCCTGGACCAGGAGCCCCCCAGGCTACCCCCAGGTGGGCTTTGGGGGGGTCTGGGGGGGCAGTTTGGGGGTCTCTGGGGGTCTGTGGGATGGGGGGAGTTGGGCAGGAACCCTCTTGTGGAGTTTGGGGGTCTCTGGGGGGCATTTTGGGGGTCTCTGGTGGGGGGGAATGGGGGGATTAGGGCAGGATCCCCC